TGAAATGAGAATAATATCTAGCTGAGAGCTATGAGACTGGGGGAGTGGCTAGAAAGACTGAATTGGGGCCAGCATGTGGCAATGCAGTGAGCACCACCACCAGAGGGTCCGTTCCTCTGTTTGGCACAGCCAACATTTTTCTACTATCCTTTGTCTATGACATTCTCCTAGATACCTGTCACCTGGTCTGGCTACTGAGTCCTGTTTGGCCATTTTTCTAGGGGTGAGAGATAGACACAGCCTTACCGGTAATAGGAAGTCGGCCGGGGTGGGGCGTCAGGGGTGTCCTGCTCCAGCTCCCGGTACACCACCTCTGGCAGCTTGGGTGTGGCACTTGCGGAAGCATTATGGTGGTGGTGATGGTTGGAATCCTTTCGTTTCTCCTTGTTCTTATGCTTGCCTGACTTGGGAGTCGCAGCCGGCGTCTCAGTGTTCTCCTTGTTGCTGCCATTCTCAGGGGCCTCCTCAGGGGCCTCCTCATCCTCTGATACCACATCCAGGTTGTCAAAGATGCTGATGCGGTGGACACGGCCGTGCAGGTCCACTTCCACCATGCGCTGGGCCTGTGCGTAGCTCATCACCTCACGGCCTGGTGACTGGGAGACCTCTGAAGGGCTGGGTGACTGCTTGTTGGCTGGGCGAGACTGGCGCCCCTTCTTCTTGTGCTTGCGGAGTGGAGTCTGCTGTGGCGGGGGTGGGTTGTCGTGGTCATAGTGGTACAGGTGGTACTCAATGCCACTGTAACTCTTGTAAACCTTGCGACAGGTCTCCACAGGGCACTCGTAGGGTGGCTTAGTTGCCCGCAAGTTGTGGCAGAAAGTTTTCACATCAAAGTCCACCCCCATGCTGTCACATCTGGAATACACAGATCAGTTAGCACAAGCTTTACAGAAGAGTTCCTGTTCACCTGCACCCAAGACCCACTCTCTCTGGTCTCCGTCTGTAACAGTCACCAGGTCCCAGCCAGCCCATCTTTCTAGTACCTCCAGAATCCATCTCCACCATGGCTTTGATCTGGGACTTGGTACCTCTTGCCTGAGGTCTCATCTCCTTTGGCCCAATTTCACACCATTTGGCCAGACTGATCTTTCTACTAAGTAGCAATGATCATATCAGTCTCTCACACAAAAGCCTCCGGATGCTCCCTACTTACTTCAGGATAAAATTCGGGTTCTCTGTGATGACACTCTACGTGCTACTTTCATTATCTGTTTTCCTTTTTAAACTCTTTTTCACTAGTTATAGCTCTTACTACCCAAACAAAGCAACCTGCAATTCCTGAGAGTAACTGCCTCTCAAGGAGTAAGATAAAGTGAAAGAATGGCTGAATGGACCATCAGATTTGGATCTGAGAGATGAAGGAAGGCTTTTATTAGCTCAGGCAGAAACCTGAATGGATGACCAATGAGTTAGCCCTAGACTCCGATAGAGGTTAGTTGACAACAGAATTAGCTCATTTCTGGTCTTAATTTGGAGCCTCACCCTGGGCCCTGGATTTGACTATGTGAAGCCAAAGTAAAAGCGGAGGTCATTCACTCAGGGACAGCAGCATTCAAGTTCTTTATTCACTCATTCTGGCAACATTAACTGAGTGCTAAGGAAGTGCCAGGTCTTACAGGTACAAACAGGACAAACCAGGCAAGTTCAGCTCCAGGCTGGTCCCCCCACCCCCCAATCTTCCTGGGTGAATGGAGACAGCAGATGGCACCAAACCCCAGGCCGCTGGCTTGGGCAGAGACTGTCCCAATTTCTCTTGGCCTAGTTGAGTTCAACAACTCAGCCAGGGGCTTAGCACTATTCCAGGTTAAGGCTACCCTGTTCAGGATAAACGCTGACCCAGCTACGCCTCTCTTCTGAAGCTTAACTGAGCCAGTGGGCTGCTTCAGCTCCTCAGTCAGCAACTCCGGGCTTCCTTCCACATCGTAAGAGCTACACGATCAAGTCAACTCCCGCCTACTTCCCACCTGTGGCCATGTCTTTAAACACAAACCAACCAGAGATACAAACAAGCTCTCCTCTCTCCAAGCAGAGTCCCAGGTGAACGGCTCTGGCTCTGCTGCTCTGGCTCCCCAAGTGGCAACGCACCCGTGGGACTCGGCGGCGCAGGCACAGGGCTGAGAGGAGAACTTAGACCCGCAAGCCCTCGGGGAGCGCCTGGAGCCCGGGGGCTGGGCAGCTATCTCCGCTCCCGGCTCCCCAGGCTGGAGGAAGTGGAGGGCGGGGCGCCAGGGCCGGCAGCCTCCTCTCCCGGATGCCGCAGGGTTTCCCCTTTGTCAAAGTGGAGCAAGTTAAGCGAGGCTCCGTCCTGCCACTGGCCCGGGCAGCCTAGGGGATCCCGCAGCAGGGTCGACACACTGTCAGTTCCCGGGCTTCAGTGCCCGCCGAGCCGCCCCGCCCAGGCCCGCACTCACCGGCCACCTCGAGTCCGGGCTCATCGCCGAGGCGCCCGCCGGGGCCTCGACTCCCCTGGGGAGGCCGGCGGCAAAGAAGTGCCGGGAGGACGCCCTGATCCGGAGGTCGCAGAGTTCGCCTCCCCACCCGGCAGCCCCGCGCCGGCCCGGCTTCCCGATTCCCGCGCTGACTCTGCCGCCCTGATTCTGCCGGCGACCCAGCGTCCTGGCCCAGCCAGCCCCCGCTCGTCCTGTGAGCTTCTGGTAACCTGGGCTGGTGCCTTTGGCGCAGGAACAAAGGAGGCTCCCGTAGGCAGCGAGGGACAAGCAGCGGACACGGGACGGCAAAGGCAGTGGCAGCGGCGGCGGAGGCGACGGCGTCTGCGCAGGGTAAACGCGGCGTCCAGGCGCGCAGAGTTGCACTTTCGCCACGGCTTTCGCCGGCCTGCTGAACCTCGAGAGGCCATTTTTTGAGACCTGCAAAGACCCCGGACACCCCGCGGGGCTCAACAGCGCCTCCTTCTCAGAACTGGGGTGCTGGAGACCGCGGGCGCCATACCTGGGCTATGGGGTGGTCGGGCCGTTCGTAGCGAATCTGCGGCCACGGACGGCGAGCGCGGGCTGCGTGAAAAGCCCGCCCTCTCCCCTCCCCCTCCCCCTCCCCCTACTCCTCCTCCCCTCCTCCAGCCCCTCCCGCCCGCTGGCGCGGCTGGTTTCTGCCTCCGCCCGTGAGGGGCGGGGCGGGGCGGGGCTGCAGCCGGAGGGCCATTAGGGGCGGGGCGGGGTGGGGCGGGGCCTGAGCGAAGCGGGGGTGGGGCCCGCGAAGCGGGTGGGGCCACGAGTAAGGCTGGGCGAAGGGCGGAGAGGCGCGGGAGGGAAGGCGGGGCCTAGGCTGGGATAAGGGGCGGGGCCGCGCGGAGCCGGGTGGGCGGTTCTAAGAGGCTGCACGCCGCGGGCGTGGCGGGCTTCAGGCGCGAGCCCTGCAGGGTCGCGGGTCCTTGGGCGCGTGCAGTCCTACTGGCTGCTGGTGGGGAGGTAGAGCCAAATCTCCGAGGCCGGTGCCCCCCCTAGTGGGCGAGTTGAGAAGTTCCCCTCTAGCGTCAGGTGCGCAGCGGACCGGAACATTCTGTCGGTTCTGGGGAGGTCAGAACTGGCTGCTGCTTTAGCGACTGCGAGCAGGGGACTTGGCTGCGGGGGCGCTGACGCTTGTTTATCTCCGCAAGCTTCGAGTTCAGCTCCCGTAGGCATTTTCTAATATATCAGTCCTCCAACACTGACACTCTGGGAAGATGTTGCTGGGTAGGATTTTGGGGTCTGAAGTCAAACTGATGAGTTCTTCTAAGGAAGCAAATTATCCTTTCCGGACCTAAGTTTCCTCAGGTCCAAAATGGGGATCATGCTGCACATGTGGCTCAGCAGTAGAGACCCTGGGTTCAAGCCACAGCACCACACACAAAAATGGAGGTAACCTCTAACAGGGTGCTCATGAGGGTTAAGAGAAAGGATACTCACAAGGCACCCAGCACATGTCTCATATACAGCGAAGACTCAAAAATATTCAAAAAATTCAGAGCGCCAGCTCAAAGTGAACATTTTTTGAGGTCAGGAACCCCATTGGGGATTTGATGAAAGCTTTTCCTTTTTTGTGGCCCTAGGGTAGACCTCAGGTCCTTATGAATGCTAAGCAAATTTTCAAATGCAAAGCCACATCTCCAGCCCTTTTCTTCTTCCTTTTTTTCCCATGCAATGATGTCTTTTATTACACATAGGTTTTTATAATTCTTCAATCTTCATACACAAGCAAAAGTGTACTGTTTAACACACTGGAATTTGCAAACTTAATCACTGTGTAAAAAAGGGAAAATTATCCCCAAAGCATGCTTAACTGGGAGGCCAAGGCATCTGCCAACCACCAAGAACATGGAGGTGAACGTGACAGACAATTGCTCCCGCAGATCAGCAGCACACTTCTTGCCAACAATCATTAAACGTCCAAGAAGACTTTCTTTCCTTTTTTTTTTTTTTTGGGGGTGGAACCAGGGATTGAACTCAGGCCCTTGCGCTTTCCAGGCAAGTGCTTATTCTACTGAGCTATTTCCCTGGTCCCCCAAGAAGATTTTCAACATCATCTTCCACTACAGAAATCTGGGCAAAATGTTTCTTGGGGATCACCAGAAAATGTGTTGGTACTTAGGGGACAGTACCACAGACAGCAAGGCACTGGTCATTGTCAAAAATGATCTTGGAGGGGATTTCCTTGCCAATGATCTTCCCGAAGATCATGTTGTGCCAGGGTGGGCAACCTGAGCTTTGGCAATCTTGTCTGCTATAGTGAAGCTAAGGAGCTTTTTTTTTTTTTTTTTTTTTTTAAGACAGGGTCTCACTATGTGACAGTCACCCTGTCTTAGCTTCTTGAGTGCTGACACTATAGGAACACACCACCAACTACTTATTTTTTGGTGTTTGAAGCTCCAAGCTGTGGCATGAATGTGCAACAGTAGAAGGGTGAGCCCCACAAGGCCACCCTTGTTTTGCCTCCCAGGGTGACCCAGGCCCTGGCCTTGTATGTTGCTCTGGAAGACCAGAAGACAAGGTAGCGCAAAGACCAGCTTTATTATTGGCTTAGGGTAGGGAGCACTGCTAGTGCCAGGCCCTGCTGCAGGGAGCGTAGAAGGCACACCTGCCAGCGTGGATGCCAGTGAGTTCCAGGTTTCCAGTGCCTCTGGCTTTCAGCAGGAGGGAGCAGGGGGGCAAATGCTAGGCACGGGAGAGTGGGCTGCTCATGGCTGCTCTGAAGCTGGGGCTGGGCTGGGGTTGGCGGGGGGTGGGGGCCGGGGCTGGATGTCCCTGGTACGCATGTAGGACAGCAGCTGCTCTGGGATCTCAGCCAGCACATCCTTAGCTAGTCGGGCCATGCTGAGAACCTGGTTTCCCGAGCGGTCCACGTAGTCTCGGAACGGAACAAACTAGGAGCAGAAGCCAAGAAGGTGTGGGTTGTGGCCGGGGGAGGGGGCTTCACCTGCAGTCCTCACCTTCACTCCTAAACATCATTTGTCTCTCCCCTAATCTTAGATGGTTCTTCACATTTGTCTTCACCCACTTTTTTCCCAGGGGCTGCTCAGCCTCAGGACCCTCCAGCCCCTTCCCACAGTCCACTTAAACTGCCCTTGCTAATGTCCTTGGCAGCTCTCAGCACCCCAGCTGGCAAGAACTTTCAGTCCCCATCTTGCTGTCCCTTTTGTGTCCCATTACATGTGAACACAATATCCCAGGACCTGTATCTTTCTCAACACCATGCACATGCGCAGGCTTCTGATCTTGGTTTTGCCTTTCTGGAAGCTTCTCCCCATTGTCTCCTGCCCTTGACCTGCTGTCTAAAGCCATCCTCTTCTCTCCATTGTCTGAGTAATTTCATATGGTCCTGACTTTAAAGTCTGTCTCTCACAAGTGAGAAGAGGGGGCAGGGAAGAGGTGGGAGGGAAAAGGAGCCAGAGGACAGGACCAGCAGGAGGCAGAAAGAAGAAGCCCTTGAAAGAAGAGGCTCTGGGAGAGGATGGGCCAGTTGGAAGAGGGGTAGAGGCCCTGAGAGAGGGGTTAAGACCAGAAGGGAGTGGTGCAGGGGAGCAAGGTCAACAAAAGCAGGCAAAAGTGAAAAGGAAGAAGGAAGCTATTCCTGGTGAGTCCCAAATATTTCTCTCCACCTTTGGCCTTTATACAATTTTATTTTTGCCCAGTGTCGTGGTGCACACTTGTAATTCCAGCACTCAGGAAGCTGAGGCAGGATTACAAATTGGAGGGCTACATAGTAAGGCCAGCCTGAACTTGGTAGCAAGACCCTTTCTCAAGAAATAAAATAAACTTCACTTTTACTTTTTTGTTGTTAGATGAGGTCTCACTGTGTTGCCCAGGCTGGTCTTAAAACTCCTAAACTCAAGTGATCCTCCTGCCTCTGGCTCCTAAGTACTGGGAATATAGGCAGGCATATTCCACCATGCTGGTGGAGTGCTAGAGGTTTGATCCAGGTCCTTTCACGTTGAGCTACACCCCCAGTCCCAGGCTCTTTTTTTTTTTTCTGAGACAGGTTCTCAGTAGGTTGCTAAATTGCCCAGGAGGATTACAAGTTTGAGCCCAGCAGCCTGGGCAAGGTGGAGACCCTGTCTTAAAACAAAAATAAGAAGGGCTGAGGATGCAGCTCAGTGTGGAGGCCCTGGGTTCAGTCCTCAGGAACACACACACACACACACACACACACACACACACACACACACACACACACAACTATCTTACTCTCTTATGCAAAAACCCTCTCTTAGCCTGAAGCGGTGGCTCACCCTGTAATCCCAGGTAACTCTGGAAGCTGATGCAGTCATACTGCAAATTCAAGGCCAGCCTGACTACCTACCTTAGCCAGACCATCCCAAGACAATAAGTAAATAATGGATGGGGGGATGGATGATGGATGGATGGATGGATGGATGGATAGATGAAACTATCTCAGGGCTGACCCTGCTGCATGTGACCCTGGCACCCTGCACCGGGCTTCAGTGCTCTTCCAGTGCAGCTGTTTGTGTCCGTGCCACTGGCACTACCTTCAGCCTCAGCAGTGTCTAGATGCCCTCCCAACAACTAAGCTCCCAGCCACAGAGCGTAGCGCCCCCTCCCCCACCCGCATCGGTGTGCTTCTCTGCTTCAGGTCACTGCAAGATCTCCTTCCTCCCCAGCCAGACACAGGCCCACAGGCCCACCGCATGGGTTCTGAGGTCCAGGAGTGAGCAGGGGAAGGGGTGGCTCCCCACATCCTGTGGTCTGTGGTCAGGATTACCTGAACAATGTCCCGCTCAGCGAAACGCCCCCGGGAGGACACACGTACATCATCGCCGTCCAGCTCTTCCATTGCTGCGGAGAAGACCCTCTCCAGCAGGCTGTGCTGCCCTCCGTACAGTCATGACAGCGCTTAACGGCTGCGGGGAAGGCCTATGCATGCTAGGCCTTGTCACAAGTTATTAAGGGGTGGGGGCAGGGTCTTGCTAGGTAGTCTAGGCTGGGCTTGAACTCACAGCGAATCTTCTTGCCTCAGCCTTCGAAGCATTGGGATTACAAGCATGTACCACCATGCCAGGCATTTATTATTATTCCTTTACTGCATCCTCCATCCCCAGGGGTGGAGGACAGGGTTACTATCTCTCCCTTGGTTAGGAAGAGGGCACTGGGCCGGGGAGATGGCTCAGTGGAATAAGCACTTCCCTGGCAAGCACAAGGGTCCGGTTCCACCCAAAAAAAAAAAAAAAAGGAAGAGGGCACCATGTGTGGTCCCGTGGCATCCAGCCCTGTGTGCCCAGACCCAGTCCGCTCCCCAGGCCTTGGCCTCACCCCCTCTCCCCTGCTCCCCCTCCACCCTACTCACCCTCGAACATGGCTGGCCCCACTCCAACAATGATGATGGACATGGGCAGGGAGGAGGCCTGCAGGAGAGGGCTGTGTGGTAAGCAGCTGTTTGTGCAGGGAGGCCACTGCACACATCTGGGGGCTGCGGCTCCAGGTGCCTTGCTCCAGACTTCTTTGTGAAGGACACGTGTGTCAGGCAGCCCTGAAGCTAGTGTCTCCCTAGAGTAGCTGGCAGGTTTATTTCCTAGAATCCTTTGAGTCTCCCACGGGACAGAAAGGGCATGTGCTCCTGCCCACTGGAGGAGACTGACATCCCCAGGCTCAGGCACCACCCCTGGGACACCACCTCTTATCAGCGCCATGTCACCTGGCCATCTCCACACCATTCTGTGAGGCTGGGCACTCAGGCAATGCTGTGGCTGCTTCGGCAGGAGTAGCAGGACCCCTTGCCTCTCACCGGGAGTCCTGTGTCCTCAGCCAGCATTGAGGAAGCTGGTTGGCTCACTTTGCAGGTTTTGTGAAGGACAAAACCCCCAACCTGTCCTTGGAGCTGGCAGTGACCCCTCCCTGGCAAGTCTCCCCCATGGACTCACGCTGACGATCGCTTCTTTGGTCTGTGTCATGTCAGAGATGACCCCGTCTGTGATGATGAGCAGAACATAGTACTGGGAGCCATCGGAGATCTTAGCTGCAGCCCTGCATGAGAGGCCCAGGTCGGAATCCAGCCATAAGCCTGAGAGGCTGAGAACCTCACGCCAGCCCTCAGCGCCCACCGTCGGCTGGGAGCCAGGCAAGACCAACTGGGCTACCAGACTGTTGTCTGCCCTGCCTGCTGCTTTCCACAACATTTACTGACTCTTCTGGGAGGAGGCCCTGGAGACACACAGGGAGGAAAAATGGAATCTTTCTAGGCCTTTGGTGGGAGACTTCCAAAACTGCACAAAAATCCTTGAAATGATCACCATGATGGGCCTGCATGGCAAGGTCCTGAGCTGGTCGCAAAGGTGAGTGAAGCCTCGCAGAAGTGACATGAGGAGGAGGGGAGGCCACACAAGGGGACTCACTCTGGGCAGAGGGCACAGTGTGGGACACTCCTCTGCGTGTGTGGGAAGCCCACTTAGTGTAGAGATGGACCAGACACTCAGGTGGCAGAGTGGACCATGCACAGGGGGCAGAGGGACCGGCTTGAAAGAGTCCGATGTTTACACAAGGCCAGGGCCAAGTGGAAGGCTTCCTCGCCTTCTTTCCTCTTCAACCCTCTCTCTCTCTGACACCACCCCACGGCCCCCTGGCGCCCTCTGCTAGCCTGGCTGGTCTGAGGGACAGCAGCTCCTAGAGTTCCTTCTCCTTTCCTCTCATCATATTTTTTAGGTGCTGGGGATGGAACACATGGCACATGGCACACAAATGCTCTATCACTGAGCCATATCCCTAACCCTATTTTTTTAAAAAAAATTATTTTGAGACAGGGTCTTGCTAAATTGCCCAGGCTAGCCTTGACCTTGTAATCCTCTGGCCTCAGCCCCTGGGCTTAAACACCTGGGATTAAAGGTGTGCGCTACTGCCCCTGGCCACACCCAGCAATCTTGCAGTCCAGTTTTCCATCTGAAGAGGCCCTCATAAATCAGAGTCCAGTTGTCTTATTTTACATACATGAAAAAACCTAAAGAGGGCACAAGGCAGCTGGCAGACTTTGGTCCTTGACTTCTAGTCTCAGAAGCTGGATTGGAAGTTTGGAACTGTGCTGTCCAATAAGGACACTGAAATTTAAATTAACAACATGAGGGCCGGGGAGATGGCTCAGTGGAATAAGCGCTTCCCTGCAAGCACAAGGGCCTGAGTTCAATCCCTGGTTCCACCAAACAACATGAAGTAGAACTGAAGATTGCACTCGTTGGGCACTCTGCACTGCGCAGTGTCACATGGGCTGTGGATGTCAGGCTGGATGGTACAGACACAGGCCACGGCCACCACTGCAAAACGGTCTTCAGAGTGGCCCTGAGTTTACACCTGACCTCAGAAAGGCAGGGATGGCACAGTGAGCATAAGGACTTCAAACAGCTCTGGCTCAGTTTACCCATGGCCTTGGAATAAGCGGGCTACCGTTTTTTTTTTTTGTTGTTGTTGCTGGGTTTTTTTTGCATTTATGTATTTGGTACTGGGTCTCACTACACAGCTTGGACTCATAGTGATCCTCTATTTTTATTTTTTATTTTTGGTGGAACCAGGGATTGAACTCAGGCCCTCGTGCTTGTCAGGCAAGCACTTATTCTACTGAGCTATCTCCGCGGCCCCACTGAGCTATATCTCTGGCTCGATCCTCCTATTTTTAGCCTCCCCAAGGCTGGAATTACAGGTGTGACCCTGACTGCCAGCTCAGCACGCCCCAGGGGTGGGGCTGACATGGCACGTGGGACCAGGAATCAAACTCTGGTCCCTGTGCTTGCCTAAGCAGGCACTTAGTCCACTGAGCTGCCTTGCCTGGGCCACCATTCTTACACTTCTCTTCCACAGCCCAGTCCTTATCCTGAATTCTAGATACCTCCCCTTTGAAGGTCCAGCCTGTGGCTTTGTCTCGTCACAAGCATGTCTGCTGTTTGTTGGCACTGAACTTGGTGCTGAGCAGCAGCAGAGAGCAGGATACTGCCCCAGTGAAAGCAGATATTGCACAACCTGAGGTTAGGACTTTGAGGATGGGATGTGGAGTAGGTGATGGTGATGGTGATGGTGATGGTGATGGTGATGGTGTGTGTGTGTGTGTGTGTGTGTGTGTGTGTGTGAGAAAGAGAACAGCAGTCCAGGGGAAAGAGACTGGTAAGTGCAAAGAGAAGGTGTGTCCTAAGAGTCCTAGAAGAAGGGCGGAGGAGGGTGGAGCTGGTTGAGTTGGGCCCACAGGAGGGACTGGAGCCCCATGGCAGGGAACACTCTGCAGGGCTGGGATGTGGGAGGCAGCTGCAGGCTCCCTGCACTTGCCTCACATTCCTGATGCTGCTTCTGCAAGGTGACTGTGTGGGATAGGACGGGCAGCAGGGGAGCTACACGCCCTACAAATGTTTCTGATTTAATCCTCACAGCACTGTAGGAGGTATGTAAGGTCTCCTTTGCTTCTTTTTTTAATACTGGGGATTGAACCCAGGGCCTTCAGAATGCTAAGCCATATCCCTCCCTTTTTAATTCCTTGAGATAGTATTTGCTAAATTGCTCAGTGTGGACTCAAATTTGTGATCCTCCTGCCTCCTGCCTCAACCTCTCAGACTGCTGGGATTACATGACCAACCATCAGGCCCAACTCCTATTTTTATCTTTATTGTGTGTGTGTGGTACCGGGGATTGAACTTGGGCCCTGTGCTTGCCAGGCAGGCACTTATTTCACTGAGCTATCTCTCCAGCCTTCCAACTCCTATTTTTAAAAGGAGAAAAAAAAACTGAGCTGGGTGTAATTTCTTCTCCTTCTCCTTCTCCGTCTCCT